TTTTTTTTTTAAAAAAAACCTTTTGCTAGGAAAGAAAACTACAATTCCTTAGGCATAATGGGCACTTTGTGAATTTATTATTGAATCGAGTTATTATTTGACAGAAGGAATAAGGACAAAGCAATTTAAAAGTATTATAAGTCAGCAAGCCACCAGGGCAAAATTTCAGTCCTCAGAGTATTAAGATTAAACATTTTTTTATTTAGAATGTTTATGAGCTCATGCAGTGAACGCCACAAGGCAGTTTAAAGGACGTTTAGGAGACTGAGAACAACTTGTTATCATGACTCTCATTACCCATGACAAGGCCCCCTTCCCCTTTCTTCCATGTGGATTCCGCAGAGGTCATCGATCTCTCAGGCACTCCTTCTCCAGTAGATTTTAGACTCTGCCATTTGCTAACAAGTTCTCACTTCCTACAGCTTTCGGGAGATGGAAGAGTAGTTCTTCGCTTCTGCTCTGAGCATGTAGGACGCCAACTCTTAGGCTAAGGCAAGCAGTAGCTGCAGAAATATTCCTTCAAGGGCTGGAGAGAGATGGCTCAGAGGTTAAGAGCACTCACTGACTGCTCTTCCAGAGGTCCTGAGTTCAATTCCCAGCAACCACATGGTGGCTCACAGCCATCTGTAATGAGAATCTGGTGCCCTCTTCTGGCCAGCAAGCATACAGACAGACAGAACACTGTATACATAATAAATACATAAATCTTAAAAAAAAAAAAAAAAAGTAAGAAATATTCCTTCAAGAAATGAGTGACAGGGCCTGGAGAGAAGGCTCCGTGGTTAAGAGCATTGGTGGCTCCTGCAGAGGACCTGGATTTGGCTCGCCGCCTTCACCTAGAACTCCAGTTCTGGTGGATCGGATGCCTTCCTACCTCCGAAGGCACCAGTAGTTTAGGTGGTGCATAGACACACCATGTAGGCAAAACCCTCCTATGCATAAAATGAAAAAAAGAAATCTAAACGATGTGAGTGACGGCAGCTAGAAGATGCGTTTTGGGCACCATCTCTCTCGAGTGAAGGGCAGCGAACAAGGAACCGGTGGAATTAGAGAGGGCAGACAGGCTTTGAGGTAGTCCCGTGCCACGGAATGTGCTGAGAGGCTCGCCGTGTCTCAGAGTTGTGACTACATTGGCCTTGATCCCCCACAGCCTGAGGTCTCTTGCAGGCTGGGGAATGGACGGCTGCTGTCACTATCTCCAGCTTCCATCTGTGTTTCAGTCCAGGACCGACTCTAAAGCTGTAACCAGCCTCTCCCTCTCTCTGTTTCTTCATTAAGGGACCACCTAGAAGCTGCCGGCCACATGTGTGTTCTGAGAGATGCCTTTGACTTTGAAAGCCCATCTGACGTTGCCGAGCTCATCGCGGCCGAGAACCTGGAAGCAGCGCTAGCCCTTCACCTCTACCGAGGAGGCAGACTTCTGCAAGGTACAGCTCTCATGCTCCCAAGGCCGCACAGGGGGAAATGCTGACAAACCAGATGCCAAGTACAGTGCCCTGTTACCCAACTGAAGGATTACACAAGGTTTCCATTTTTTTTCTATTAAGCAATTTTCTAAATTTGGTGGCCTTTCCACTTTAGAAAGATAGGTATTGATGATACCTTTGCTGTTTAAATATGTGTTTAAATATGAGACCAGCCATAGTGGTACATGCCTGTCTTTACAGGACAGGTTCTCTTACAAAGCTGTGATGGCCCTGGGTCGGAGCATCTGTGTCTAAGGCAGCTCACTCGCTGTGGCCAGGAGGCCTCTCTTCCCTACCTGGGTTTCACCTGTTGCTATGATAAACCACTCTGACAAGTGTAACTTTAAGAGAGACAGGGTTTGCTGCTTTTGGCTTACAGTTTCAGGTCACAGTCCATCATCATCGGGGGAAGTCAAGGCAGGAGCTTGAAGCAGCCAGCCAAAGCCAAGGGAAATGAAGGCAGGCACACTTCCTACAAATTCCCCTTTTCTATATTTCTACACAGTTTAGGGTTCCCTGCCTAGGGAATGGTAACACCTACAGCGGGCGTGGTCTTCTCACATCAATTCAGCCAAGGCCATCTCAACACAGAGGCCAACCTGACCTAGACAAACCCTCACTGAGACTCTCTTCCCAGGTCATTCAAGGCTGTGACAAGTTGACAGTTGAAAATGAACCATCGCAGGTAGTTTAAATAGCTTGAGACATAGCGGCACTTCTTTTCTGAAATGTCTACAGCAGAAGGGCTTTTATTTAAAAATTTTAAATTTTAGTGTTTTGTGTGTGTGTGTGTGTGTGTGTGTGTGTGTGTGATGTGCCAGCACACCATGGCATTCACATGGAGAACAAAGGATGAGTCTGTGGAGTAGATCCTCTCCTTATAGAGTGAATTCCAGAGGTTGAATGTAAGTCATCAGATTTGTGGACAAGTGCTTTTAGTCATTTAAACTATCTCACCAGACCTTCATCTTAGATTTTTTTTTTTTAAAGAAATGTGTATCTTCACATAGGCAGTGAGATATTTGGAGGATAGCTAGGCTAGATTATGAAGTTCATTTGTGTTTCTCATTCCCTTGGGCCCACGTCCTAGGGTCATTTAGGTTTGTTTGTTGTTTGAAGTAGTCTCGTGTAGTCCAGGCTGGAACTTACCATGTGGTAGAGGATGGCCTTGACTTTCTCACCTTCCTGGCTTCCCTTTCCAAGTGCTGGGATTCTAGGCATGTGCTACCATGTCTAGTTACGTGGTGCTGGGAAAGGAACACAGGGCCTCATACATGGCGGCAAGCACTCAACCAGCCAAGATGCATTCTCAGCCCCTGAAGTGATTTCAGACAGTATTTTCAATAGTGACAATGACCTGCTCTGTGAGGTTGGGAGTGTCATTTTTACACATGTGGCCTCACTTCAGTTCAGACTCTTCAGTTTGGGATCACCCCACGTTTTGGATTAGGCAGGCTCCCCCGTGTCACATTGTGGGGATCCTCTGCAATCATAGGTTTAACTTTAGATGCTAAGGCATGCCACCCCATCTTGGATCATATCCTTTTGTTGTTGTTGTTTTGAGACAGGGTCTCACTAGGTAGCTTTGGCTGCTCTGAAACTTATGTAGACCAGGCTGACCTCACAGAGATCCACCACCACACCAGGATGATTGTACGTTCTTGAAGTTGATACGGGATGCCCCTCTGTATGCTGTGAATATGTTTTATTACCATTGGTTAATAAAGAAGCTCATTTGACCTATGGCAGGGCAGAGTTTAGATCGACAGGAAATCCAAGCAGGGAGTGAGGGAGAAAGAAGGCGGAGTTGGGGAGACACCCGAGCAGCCATCAGAGGAGTGAGATGCCAGAGCATTTCTGGTAAGCCACAGGGCATGTGGTAATACACAGATTATTAGAATTGGATTCATTTATATGTAGAGCTAGCCAGTAAGAAGCCATCAAAAAGCCTGTAATTTATATTAAGCCTCAGAGTGGCTCTTTGGGAACTGGTGGGCAGGAGAGAAACCTCCAGTTACGTGAAGTCATGGTGAGTGTCTATGCTATCAGTTCCTATGTTAACCTGGAGGCCAAAAAACGATTCAGTATTTTGTTTTGTCCAATGCTGGCAAAATTGCCATCGAAGTTCAGATAAGACTGGCAGATGGCCAGAGCCTGCTTCACCTCACTCTGATCCAGTTGCTGGTTTTTTTTGTTGTTGTTGTTTTGGTTTTTTTTTTTTTGCTTTTTTTGTATGTATGTATGTATGTATGTATGTATGTATGTATGTATGTATTTATTTATTTATTTTGAGTCAGGGTTTCTCTGTGTTGCTTTGGCTGTCCTGGAACTCACTCTGTATAATAGGCTGGCCTCAAACTCAAAGATACACCTATGACCCCCACAAGTGGGGGGTTAAAGGCTTGTACCACCGCCACCGCCTCGTTTGTTTTTGACTTTTTAGTTTATATGCTTAATCCCACCACTCTTGACCTCTGCTTCAAGTAAACATGAAGATGTCACTGTTCTGTTTGCTTCTGAGTTGGGAGAAACTCTGAACTAACACAGGGATTGTTTTTCTCTCCTGGGGATGAGTGTGAAAGATTTTTTTTTTCTGTGTACAAATCAACCAATTTTTAAAGTGTTTAATGACAGAACTTTATAGTTGTCCTTATCTAAGAGAGAATATAGCTGGGGCGCCATGCAGGGTGCATTCTGGGAGCTTTATTATATGTTTTAACTAGCATATAAAACAGACAACTTGCTTTGATGTAGGTTTCAGAGCTTTAATGAAGTCTTAAGAATACACCTTAGCCAGTCGGTGGTGGCACACTCAGGAGGCAGACAGAGACAGGCGGATCTCCTTGAGTTCAAGGCCAGTCTGATCTACAGAGTGAGTTCCAGGGCAGGCTCCAAAGCTACAGAGAAACCCTGTCTCCAAAAACCAAAAACCATACCAAAACAAAAAAGAATATGGCTTAGGCTGAAACCTAATAAGGAAGCAGATAGGGTCAGGCGGCCGAGAACAAGATTAACCCGTCTGTGATGGCATCCCAATGACTCAGTATGGATCCAGTTCAGGTGCCCCACCCCATAGGATTGCTCTTTACTTTGTGTTGTTTTTAAAATCAAAATCATGGACTATAGTTTGGTAGGCTTTGGGTTGTAAATTATATTGCTCTATTTCATAGGGTGTGTGCCACTGCATGCGTGTTGGAGCCAGAGGGCAGCTGCATGGTGTCTGTTCCCTCCTACCACGCTAGTCCTTACACCATGAGCCGTCTCACTGGCCCGCAGTTGTCTGCCATTTTTGTTGTTATTTTGAGATTTTTGAGGCAGGGTCTCATGTAGCCCAGGCTGGCCTTGAACTCACAATTTTGGTAAGGTTGACCTTAACCTGCTTTCCTCCTTTTGTCAAATGCTGGGGTTACAAGGCACCAACACACTCAGGGCTTTGAGACAGGTTTTTACATTTTACAGCCCAGGTTAGCCCAGGCTAACATAGCTAACTCATTATGTAGCCCAGGAGGGGGTTGAAGTCCTGACAATTCTCCTGCCTTGGCTCACAAGTTTGAGCCAGTCCCTCTCTAACTAGTTTTCTGTTCTTACCTGAAATAAGATAAAAACATCCTCTATCTTTGCCAGGTCTCTCACAGCAATCAGTTATGAGTGATGGCATTTTTTTAAATGATGTTTTTTTTAAATTAAAAATTTTCACATGTATATATGTTTTGCCTGCGTGTATGCAATGACATTGCACCACATGTATTCCAGGTGCCCACAGAATCTACGAGAAGGTATTAGATCGGGACCAGACAGCTGTGAGCTGTCATGTGGGTCCTCCATTGTTGAAATAAGGAGTGGCGGGGCTGCGTCCCCAGCATCCCAGCCGCCTGCTAGCTTATGCCCGAAATAACAACACACAAACTGTATTCTTTTAAACACTGCTTGCCCATTATATCCAGCCTCTTCTCGGCTAACTCTCACACCTGGACTAGCCCATTTCTAATCATTGTTTGTAAACACCCCAAGGTGCGCTTACCGGGAAGATTCTAGCCTACGTCCATCCTGGGTCGGAAGCAGGGCCTCTGCTCCAGAGAGCAGAGCTGTCGGGTCTCTCCAGGAGCAGAGCAGAGTCTGACCTCACTTCCTCTTCTGCCCAGAATTCTATTCTGTTTCCTCCTCCCATCTATGTTCTAAGCTATGAGGCCAAGCAGTTGGTTTATTATAATTAACCAATGACCTTCCTCCATCACTCCATCAAAGCTGGTCCTCTGCCAGAGCAGCAGCGCTGTTTACTGCTGAACCATTTCCAGCCCCATTATTATTTTTATGTGAGGGGGGGTTTTCATCAGCATGTCTGTGCACCATGAGGATGCTGTGCCTGTAGGTGCCAGAAGAGGGCGTTGGAGCTACAGACTGCTGAGTTGCAAACAAGTGCTGGGACTTCTGGGTCCTCTGGAAGAATGACTGATGCCCTTAACCACTGGCCCATCTCTCCAGCCCTGAATGATGATGTCTTATTTCCATGTTTTGTCTCAGGCACTGTATATGATGAACTTTGTCTGTTTTTGAGACAGTGTCTTGGCATGTAGCCTTGGCTGACCTGGAACTCAGGGACTATGTAAACCAATCTGACCTGGGACTCACAGAGAGTGCTGGGATTACAGGCATGTGCTACCATACCCTATATGTGATGAAATGAATTCAAAGATACTTTTAGACTGGACATGACGGGGCAATCTGGAAGCAGAGGAAGGCAGATCTCTGAGTTCTAGGGGCCAGGTCTACGTGGCAAGTTCAGTTCAGAATGTTGTGTTTGCTTCTAAGGGCCATGGATACCACTCAGATACCCTTCAGAGTCCCACTGTTTCAATGCCTGGCTTTAGAAGCTGGTGATCATGAGGGAGGGGCCATTCCTGGTGACTGCCAGGTACCAGTGTCTACATAGTGCTGCCCATTCCTCGAGTCTTCTGGAGCTGCTGGTTGAGGATGCTAAGAAAGACCCTCTCCTGTCACCAGCTTCATTTGAGCTCTTTGATTTCTTCCCAGGATTGAAGAGCTTGGCTTTGATGGATGGTGGGGAATGATATTTTTCCGTGGTTAAAACGGAAAGCAAATTAATTTGAAAACTAGTCCTGACAACCATGGGTGAGACTTGGCATGCTTAATCTCAGTGTGGGTTTTTCTTTCTACATATATTTGTGTGTGTGTGTGTGTGTGTGTGTGTATGTGTGTGTAGTGTTGGTGGGCATGGTCTTGGTGATGGTGGTAGCGCTGGGGAGGGATCTTTGTGGAAGTCAGAGGACAACTTAAAAGGAGTAGATTCTCTCCTTTTACCACGTGTGTCCGAGAGATGGGACTCAGAGTGTCAGGTGTGGTTTTTGCCTTTGCAGAACTATTTTGCTGGCTCCTCAGTACAGGTTTCTTCCTTCCTTCCTTCCTTCCTTCCTTCCTTCCTTCCTTCCTTCCTTCCTTCCTTTCTTTCTTTCTTTCTTTTTTTGACACAGAATTTTTCTCTGTGTAGCCCTAGCTGTCTTGGAACTAGCTCTTGCTGGCCTCGCACTCACAGAGACCCACCTGCCTCTGCCTCCCAAGTGCTGAGATTAAAGGTGCATGCCACCACCACCTGGCCAGTGCAGGTTTCTAATAGTGATATCTGCTATCTACCTCTAGAGAGTTGAACGGAATGAAACAGACATCAAAACACACCACGCTTAGTTACTGGGGCTGAAACTCAGCTGGCAGAGTGTTTGTCAAGCATGCACAAAGCCTCTGTTTCAACCTCTAGAGGGACATAAATTGGGTGTGGCAGTGCTTGTGGGAAATCTCAGCCCTTTAGCTCAGCCTAGGTAGAAGCTTGAGGTTTAGGTTCAAGGTCATCTTCAGGGAAATAAATTCAAGGCCAACCTGCCTCAAAAAGAAAAGGATTCCAGACCAGTGAAATGATTCACTAGAGTTCAATTCACAGAGCATACGTAAAGATAGAAAGAGAGTACTGACTCCACGAAGATGCCCCCACACATATCACACACACACACACACACACACACACACACACACACACACACACACACATCTGGGAATGGTGGTGCACACCTGGAGTTCTAGCCCTGGGTTTGCTGAGGTGGTAAAATTGAGAGTTCCAGGCCAGCAGCCTTGGCTCTAGAGCTCTCTTTCAAAATAGATGACAGAAAGCCATGCAGCCCTGGATTATGGGAACTTCCACTTTTGCTTCATGGCTGCAGACCAGTTGTCAAGGGGCACCTCCTGATGTCCCATATGCTCCACTTGTCTTCATTTTGCAGGTCATGGCATTCCTTTTGGGGTCATCTTTGGTGGAACTGATTTAAATGAAGATGCCAATCATAAAGAAAAAAATGAAGTCATGGGGAAGGTTCTGGAAGAAGCCAGGTAAGGCCATCCATTTGTGCTCTGCTTTGGGAGGGCTTGCATCCTAGCAGGGAAAACAAATTCTCACCACCAATAATAAGGCCCTTGCCAGGCATGGTGGCTCATGCCTTTAGTTCCAGAACTTGGGAGACAGAGGCAGGTGGCTAGCTGAGAGTTAAAGCTAACCTGGTCTACATAGCAAGTTCCCAAACAGTCAAGGCCACATAGAGAGAGACCCTCTCTCAAAACAAGCCCAGAAAACAAAACTGTCCTTCAGTATAGTTTTATTTTGCTACAAATTCTCCTTGTAACCAAGTGAGTCATTATATCTGGCCTAATGTTAATATCACATGAGCATCTTAGAAGGTTCTGTGTGATAGGAAGACAGCTTGTGTGTGCTTGTGTGTGTATACTGAAATAGGGTCTTTTGTAGCCTAGGCTAACTTTGACCACTATGGTTAGCTGAGGATGACCTTGAACTCTGCTCCTGCCTTCACCTCCCAAGTTCTGAGACTGCATGAATGCACCACAGGGCAGGGCTGAGCAGATGATGCTAAGCGGGCCTATGCTAGGTTTCCCAGCCCAAGGCTCATCCTCGTCACTATTCTTAGGCTATTCACTGTTCATATTCAGTATGTATGGCTCCTGTCTGTGTCGCTTTGTGAGTTCTGTAAACCATTATGGAGAGCAGTCACCAGCGAGATTCTGTACCCTGGCTTAGACCTCCATTTACACATTATTCCCAGCCACCTGGGAGCAGAGAGCCCCCAAGAGCTTGGCTCTGTCACCTGGAGGTGGTGCTTCTCCAAGACATCCATTAGTTCTGTGGGAATAGTATGGGAACCCCTGCCCCAGACACTAGCTGTGGCCAGCACCTTCTGACCTGCATGGGCAATGTGTGAACGTGGTATACATACATATACACAGGAAAAACACTCATACTCAGAAAATCAAAATAAATAAGTCTTAAAAAACAAAAACACACAGGAAAAAACCTGTCTCAGAAAATACTCAAAAACAAAAACCCCAAACAAACAAAACCCCCTAAACAAATACAACAACACCACCACCAACACAAAAGCATTAGCTCCCTTTACAGAGGACCTGAGTTCCATTCCCTGTACCCACATCAGGTGGCTCCTGATATAGCTGGAGTATATTTAACTCCAGCTCCAGGGTGTAAGCACCCTCTTCTGGCCTCCATAGGTACTGCACCCACACAGTACAAACACACACACACATACACACACACACACACACTCATGTGCACTCATACACATACACAAATAAATCTTAAGAAAAGTGACCCATTAGTGAATATTCCCTACTTCTTGCACATTTAAAAAATATATTATCTTTCTATTTGCATGGTTCATGCTGCATAGCTCTAAGGAAGAAAAGTAATCCTGTTTACTAGAAACATTATTGAACAAATCTATCTTGCAGTATTATCTTTAGGGTTATTTATCTCTTTGTTATTAAAACAAATATTGATTTTTTTATTTGGGGGTAATTGATTAAGGCCAGTGGGCAAGAGAGACGCATGAATCATGGATTTCTTGTTTGACATCACACAGCTCATGTTTCTGTAAACGGGGTATTGAGCCTGCCTGGCTTCTTAATGAACATTTCATTTTTAATTAAACAGTTTTTAAGTTGGCATGTTTTTTTCTATGGGGTTGTGTGAATTTTTTTCAGTATTTTAAACCTTTATTCCATGCAGTATAGTATTCTACTTTAATTTTGGGTTAGATTATCAGCTTCTAAGACTTATAGTATTTGGTAATTATATTATAAATATTAAAATTCAGTGAAGTGTATCTGAAAATTAGGATCATTTTGTTTCTGAGTACGCTTGAAAAAGAATACTTGCTACTTGTTATTGTTTACTTAAAAATTCTTTTCCTTTATTTTTATTTTTTGTGTATGAGTATTTTTCTGCATAAGTGTCTGTGGACTCTGTGTGCAGTGTTCTTAAAGGGCAGAAGAGGCTTCAGGTCTGGGACTGGAGTTACAGATGGCTGTAAACCACCATGTGGGTGCTAGGGATTGAACTCAGGTTGTCTGGAAGAGCGGCCAGTGCTCGTAGCCACTGAGCCATCTCTCCAGCCAGCCCCAGTCTTTTATCTTTTCAGATATATCCTGGGTAGGAAGGTAGGAACCCTTTCAACTTATGGAACCCCTTCTCTGCCATTGCATTAAATTCTTAGATGTGTTTGAGTCTGCTCCTGGCCTCAAGTTCACTTTTGAGCTCCTGTTCTTATTCTCGTTGCCAATACAGTTTTTTTTGTTTGTTTATTAATTTTTATTGAGTTCTACATTTTTCTCTGATCCCCTCCCTGCCTCTCCCTTCCCCTTCAACCCTCTCCCAAGGTCCCCATGCTCCCAATTTACTCAGGAGATCTTGTCTTTTTCTACTTCCCATGTAGATTAGATCTATGTGAGTCTCTTTTAGGGTCCTCATTGTTGTCTAGGTTCTCTAGGATTGTGATTTTTGGGCTTGTTTTCTTTGCTTTATGTTTAAAAACCACTTATGAGTGAGTACATGTGATAATTGTCTTTCTGGGTCTGGGTTACCTCACTTAAAATAATGTTTTCTAGCTCCATCCATTTTCCTGCAAAATTCAAGATGTCATTATTTTTTTCTGCTGTGTAGTATTACATTGTGTAAATGTATCATGTTTTCCTTATCCATTCTTTGGTCAAGGGGTATTTAGGTTGTTTCCAGGTTCTGGCTATGACAAACAATGCTGCTATGAACATAGTTGAACACATGTCCTTGTGGCACAATTGAGCATCCTTTGGATATATACTTAAAAGTGGTATTACTGGGTCTTGAGGAGGTTGTTTCCTAATTTTCTGAGAAATCGCTACACTTACATGCAAAAAGGCTGTACCAGCTTGCATTCCCACCAGCAATGCAGGAGTGTTCCCTTTACCCCACATCCTCTCCAGCATAAGTTGTCATCAGTGTTTTTGATCTTGGCCATTCTTACAGGTGTAAAATGGAACCTCAGAGTTGTTTTGATTTGCCTTTCTCTGATGACTAAGGATGTTGAGCATTCCCTTATGAGTCTTTCAGCCATTTTAGAGTCCTCTGTTGAGAGTTCTCTGTTTAAGTCTGTACTCCAATTTTTTATTGGATAATTTTTTCTTTTGATGACCAATTTCTTGAGTTCTTTGTGTATTTTGGAGATCAGACCTCTGTCTGATGTGGGGTTAGTGAAGATCTTTTCCCATTCTGTAGGCTGTCATTTTGTCTTGTTGACTGTGTCCTTTGCTTTACAGATGCTTTTCAGTTTCAGGGGCTCCCATTTATTAATTGTTTCTCTCAGTGTCTGTGCTGCTGGGGTTATATTTAGGAAGTGGTCTCTTGTGCCAATGCATTCAAGTGTACTTCCCACTTTCTCTTCTGAGGTTCAGTGTGGCTGGCTTTATATTGAGGTCTTTGCTCCATTTGGACTTGAGTTTTATGCATGGTGATAGATATGGGTCTATTTTCATTCTTCTACATGTTGATATTCAGTTATGCCAGAAGCATTTGTTAAATAAGCTTTCTTTTTTTCATTTGATATTTTTTGCTTGTTTGTCAAAAATCAGGTGTTCGAAGGTGTGTGGATTAATATCCGGGTCTTTGATTCAGTTCCATTGGTCCTCCTGTCTGTTTTTATGCCAATACCAGGCTGTTTTCAGTACTGTAGCTCTGTAGCAGAGTTTGAAGTCAGGGATTGTGATGCTTCCAGAAGTTCTTTTATTGTACTGGATTGGCTATCCTGTTGGTTTTTTTAATTAATTAATTAATTAATTA